ACCAGCCCTGAACGTCTCCCAAATGGCCCCAAGGAAAGCTCCAGGAGGGCTTATTGACGCAGCCTTGCAGGTGGCTATTTTCCTGTATTCTTGAACCCAAAGGGCTAACAGTAAAGCTCCAGATGCCACGGGGAGTCTGTGGCCCATGCGAACTGCCGTATGCAAAGCATCATCACCCTGACCCACACAATCCTATTAGTTGTGTTCTCCCAGTCCTTTCAAAGGAAAGAATTGGAAAGTGGTCTCTAGATTTACGTCAGAGGGCCTGGATTCAGATTTGACCCTGTTGCTTCTAATAGGTCCGTAAATTTAGTGCTAAAAGGGACCTTGAGGTCCAACCCTTCCCTTTATCCCCTTTATCTTACAGATGAGAAGAATGGACATCCAGAGAAGTTATTTGTCCAAGGCCAGAGATAATCAGTGGCTGGATGTGCTGGGATTTGAACCCAGGGGCTCCCACTCCAAAATCCAGCATTCATTTTGCACAACCTGGGTCACCTAGGATGAGTCCCTTAGTTCATCTGCAAAGTGGGTTGAACTCCAGTGATTCCTAAAGCCTGTTCCAGCTCTCGATCCCTGCAGTAATTAGTATGAAGTCAATAAAGAACACAGTGACCAGGAAGATTTTTTTTTCCAGCAGGAACTAGAATTAAAAGCAGGCTACGAGTTTTAGATGAACCTTTCATCTTATTCCACTTCATCATGAAATGCGTCCTGTGTCCTGTGTGCACTGGATGCCATCCAACGCCAGGGGGTGCCCTGAGTTTCAACCAATCCGAGCGACCCAAACCACCCAGTTGCCAATCACTGCTAAACCCACACCCCTGTTGGGGGTGGCCCCTGAGTCTTAGGGGTGTGTGAGGATGTGAGAGGGTGTGTCCTCCAGTCAAATCTCTGGCCCCCAGGTGCTTGGCTCTTTCTTCCTTTCCTTCACAGCTGTCCAAGACTTATGCACGAAGCATTATTTAGAGAAAGAAGCGTTTCATGAAAGGCAGCGTGGTTCTCAAAACTGTGGTCCAGGAGCCCTCGAGTTCTCTGAGACCCTCTTCACAATACTACTAAGGTGCTGTCTGCCTTCTAAAATCATCCTCCCTTCCCTCTGTCTGTGAGACTGGATTTTCTTCATATACTTTAACCAAAGCAATATCACAGCACAGAAGTAGAGAGGAAAATTCAGCTGTCTTCTATCAAGCCAGATGTTAAAGAGATTTGCAAAAATAAGTCAAACAATACCACTGTCCTCACTAATTTTCTTTTTGTTTTGGAAAATATAATTATTTTCCTTTAAAATGTTATTTATGTTAGCATATAATGGTATTTTAAATGAATTAGTATTTTTAAATTTTATCAGTTTTAATTTCTAATATGGTAAATATTGATAGATGTAGCCCAAATAAACACAAGTTCTTGGGGCCATCAATAATTTTTTAGAGTGTATAGGAGTCTTCAATTTTAAGAATATCAAAGGGTCCTGAATCCAAAAAGTTAGAGAACTGCTGGTCAGAAGGATAAAAGAATATTTTTTTGGTTTATTTTGGTCTGGATCTGTGATTTTATTAATAAAGAGAACTTCCAGTGAGAAAACTCCCTCTACCAATGCAAATCAATAGCTATTCTGTACCTTAGGACAGTGGCATAGTCAGAGGACCCAGGGCCAACTCTTAACTTACCTGTGTGATTTTGGGTGTGTCACTTAACGTTCCTCGACCTCATTTTTCTTAATTATGTCTGTTGTCACCCCTAGATCTTTCTTTCCTGTATTTGCTACTTAATCCTGACTCATCTTCCTGAATTGACCCTTACTAGCCGTATGACCCTGGACAAGTCACTTCACCCTGTTTGCCTCACTTTCTCATCTGTAAAATGATCTGGAGAAGGAAATGGCCAACCACTCCAATATCTCTACCAAGAAAACCCCAAGTGGGGTCGTGGGGAGTGAGATGACTGAAATGATGGAACAACAACAACATTTGTGTTTGTTTGATTTCTGTTTGTGCTGGCCATTAGGCCTCATTAATGGCCAGCTGCAGACTGACAGTTGGGGGATAGTCTTGTCACTTTAAATTCTTTACCTTATTTTTATTGATGTCTTTTGTTTTTACATCACAGTCATTTCCAAATATATCCCCCCGAAGTCTCTTGAAAAAAAGATTTCTAAAGAAACCACACAGCTCAGGAAAATTAACCAACAGGTTGGCTGTGTCTGACAGTATCTGAAATATTCCATAGACGTAGCCTCCCGCCTCTGCAGTAAGGGAGGTAGATTGTCTTAACTCTTCTCTCAGACCGAGCATGGTCATTGTGCCGCATTCCGCTTCTTCAGATTATTCTTTTTGTTAACATTCGAGTCATTATGTATATTATTTTCCTGGTTCTGCTTTCTTCTGTTTGCATCAGTTCATCAACATCTTCCCTGAATTCTTCACATTTATCATGTCAGTAATATTCTATTACATTTAAGCACCGCATTTTATTTTCTAATTTCCCAATCAGTGAGCGCCTACTTTGTTTCCTCCCAGTTCTTTACTCTAAAAAAGAGCACTGCAGTGGTCATAGGGGCCCCTTCCATCTTTGATTTCCTTGGGCTGTCACTTAGTCACTTTCTTAGCATAACCGGAGATTGCTTTCCAGAACTGTGAGACCAGTTCAAACCTCCACCAACAGTACATGAGGGTGACTGTCCTTCCACAGCCCCTCCAACATAGGACATTTCCGTAGATGGTCATCTTTTCCAATTTACTGGGCATGAGGTGAAATCATGGAGTTGTGGTTTTTTGCATGAGAATATTCTTCTCAGTACCTAGATTCCAAATTCTTCCCAAAGTCTCTTTTACTCTTGTTTTTAAGCTTATCACTGTCTTCCTGGGACTGTCCATATGTCAGTTTACTTCTACATGCCCACGCTCTGTGCCCCCTCTCTCTAAATCCTCTGGTAATAGGTAGGAATAACTGCAAAATAATAATGAAATGCTGCACTTTTAAAATAATGGAAGGACCTTCTCTTCCTGCTGTTTTTTTTCCCTTTGCATGTATTTCTGAGTCTAAAGTTATACTCTAATCCTTCGCTTTGGGGTGGAAGTGATTGAGTTTTCAAAAGCTCTACCACACTGGAAAGGCTTTAATAGAAAGGCCAGAAGCAAACCACGGATCTCTTATATGAGGCTCTGCCAAGCTAAGTTTGCAGAGGGGTCATGATCTGACTGCACTGCTTTACTTTGCTTAAAGAAGTTATAACCAAGGTAACTACTGGTAAACGTTTAACAATTGACTCTCAAAAACTAATAACAATAAGTTTGACACACTTTAAAGTTTAATCTATCTGTATTATTAACGTTTTTCCCCTTCACTTTCTTAAGTCTAGAAATCACAAAACAATAAAATCAAGCCCTGATTTCTATCATTTACCTATTTCCAAAATGTACATGCTCATGCTGGAAATTTAACAATCAGCTCTCAAGTGCTTGCTCCAGCATATAATCCAGTCATTAAATGTATCATGCTAAATGCATTACTTGTACCATGCATTTTTATAAAGGGAAGGTGGTGGTTGTATTGTCATTATTTACACCTTTCTTTGGGACCTAGATAGAAGCTGTCACAGAGGGTTTTTGTCTGCCCCCCAGAATTTTATATATGGTACTGGTGAAAACACAGTATTGAGTATATTTTATAATTAAAACATGATCATCACTCATGACATAGCTATCCGGGGGAAACCATTTTTAAAAAAAACAACCACAAAAATCAAACACACCCAGACAAAACCTGAAGATATAACCACTTAATCTGCACCCTTAAGCTCCAGAATTACACGGATCAAGTTTAGTTTTAAGGAGCAGCCCCAATAAAACATGTCTTTCTAATTCTGGAAAATCTCAGAAAAGCTCATGTTATCAGGATTGGATTCAAATCCTGGCCCCACCGCTGGCTGCTAGCTGCATGGCGGTAGACAGGTTATTCACCCTTTCTGATCCTACATTTCCTCCTCTCTAAAACGAGGGGTTTAAATTACATGGTCTCCCAGCTATGACCCCATGTGGTGAAATCAAGGGATAGCAGATGGGCAGCTGTTCATCCTTCCCCACTATAAGCAAAATATTGAAATACTCCCAAGGTGCTCTGTGGGACACTGCGTAAGTCTTCTCTGGAGAGGCAGCCTGGTACATGGAAAAGAGAATATTAGACTAGATGGCCTGAGAGCTTTTCTACTTCTGGATCTATGACTCTGTGATCCTTTGATTTATGTCAAGGAACAAGATTTTACTAAGCCCCTACTACAGCCAGAGACTAGGTTCAGATCATAACCCTGACATTAGCTTTGTAACCTTAAAACAATCGCTTAACCCGATGTCTGCCTCAGTTTCCTCATCTGTAAAATGAGAGGTTTGGACTAGCTGACCTGAGAGCCCTTCCAGTTCTGGATGTATGACCCTGTGATCCTTTGATTTATAGAAAAGGAACAAGACTTTATTAAGCCCCTACTATGTGCCAGGCATTGTGCTGTTTTAGAACTATTATCTCATTAGATACAATGTGTGGTCCCCATTTTACACTCACATTAGCTGTGTGAAAAGCTTTGAGCCTCTCTGACCTTAGCTAAGTTTGGTCTTTGGACAACAGACATGCAGCCCATCACCAAGCTGGTACTGGAAGTCTTAAGGTTGGCAGGAGTCAGCAGAACTGTGGCCCAAGTTATTTTTGTGGCATAGAGTTGAAGAAACTAGGATCCCTCCCAAACCACCATCGGATATCAAATGAGGATTTTCCTGGAGGAGAACCACCAAAGGTAGTAAAATTAGCTGCTTTAAGTTTCATCTCTTGGGGAATATGATGAACCAGCAACTGCCTCAAATTTGGGCAACAAAAGGGGAGAGGTGGCAAGTACCGGGAGAATCCACAGATTGGATGATTAGTCCTAGAGTAATCAAGAGTTGACTATAATCATAATTTTCAAAAATTAACCAAACTGTAAAACTTTCCCCATCCCCCTTTCATTACAGGCTGGAACCAGTGGTTACATGGCTCCAGAAATCCTGAAGGAAGAAGAAAGTTATTCCTATCCTGTGGACTGGTTTGCAATGGGGTGTAGCATTTATGAAATGGTAGCTGGGCGAACGCCATTCAAAGATTACAAAGAAAAGGTCAGCAAAGAAGATTTAAAGCAGAGAACCTTGAAACAAGAAGTCAAATTCCAACACCCAGGCTTCACAGAAGAAGCCAAAGACATATGTCGTCTCTTCCTAGCCAAAAAAGCAGAACAACGCTTAGGAAGCAGGTAAACATAGGTAGGCTGTGTAACTAGTGTTAGTCTTATTAACAGTGATTACTTAGGCTGCTTTGGATCAATGAAAATGCTTTGTCATTGAACAGTGATGCGTTTCTGATGTTGAACCGTTTTACAGTGCCAAGGAATTTGGTGGCAAGAACCTTCTTTTTGGGGCCTTCAGCACCGGTGGCCAAAGCCCCTGGAGTTGTAGTGGTTACGTTGCATCTCCAAAAGGGTTATTCCCCGGGGTGACGGCTGTGGACATCACAGAAGCATTGCTATACCCAAGGCTTTTGGGCTCTCTGGTGGTCAAGGTGGTGACGGTAGTTTGGCTTGCCAGGCACAGGCTACCTCTTGTCCCTCTCTCTCATTAGAACGTAAGCACCTTATGGAGAGGCGTTATGTTCATTTTTCTTCTCGCTCCAGCACTTAGCACAATGCCTGACCCTTAGTAGCAAATACCTGTTGGTTGATTGATTGGTGCTTGTCATTCTAACCATCTGTATACTATATAAATACCAAACTATATTGTCAGTCAGGTAACAAGTATGCTACTGGGTTGGGGTATAGAGGATGTGTCAGTTTTATTGCTTCTCAAAATGAAAAAGTAAACTCAAGTTACCTTGCAAAAAAAAAAAGTAAAGTTTAAAACAGAAACAAAATTGGTGGTATGTTGCAGGTTCCCTATTTAGGAAATCATGCTGAGATAAAATCAGTCCCTTTATACAAAACATGGTTTGATTAAACTGTTTTCTCTCTACTGTTAGGATTAGTTTTGAGACTCTGAATGAATATGTATTATAAAAGATTTAGAACTGGAGGGGCTCCTGAAGGTCATCTCATCCAACCTCTTCTATTTACCAGTGAAGAAACCAGAAGCCAGAGAGATTTAGTGACTCAGCCAATGTTACATGGATATATAGTACCGGAGCCAGGATTCAAATCCAGGTCCTTTGTTTCCAAATCCAATGCCCTTCATACTCAACATACAGTTTCCTTAAAGTTTTACTGGGTTGTTGTGTTATTTTTCTGCCAACTACATTTTTGTGCTCCATTCAGCCCATTCTGTTCTTTAATCTACTTCTTGATTAAAATTTCCCCCCAGATTTCATAAGCTTTCAAGGTTTATGTCCATCTTTTTGAGTTCTTTTGATGCTTTTATGGATTTAGTTCATTAAAGTCATGTGACTGATTTTTAAACAAACACAGCCGTGCTTTCACCCCCAAGGCTGTATAGTTGTCTTTGAAGTAGTCACCTTGGGAGGCTTATTCCTTATTTCACCCATGCTGCTGTTGCTCCAGATATGCTTGGTGTTGCCTCCCTAGGCTGCAGTATTTTCTTCTAGATATCCTTAGTGACCGATCTTTGCCCCTTGAGAATGGACTTTAAAAGTAGGAAAGCTATCTGGAGGCAAGTCTAACGAATAGGGTTGGTGATCAAGCTGGGTTATACTGGTTTGGGTCAAAAAATCAGGGTGTGATTAGACTAGTTTCCTCATTGTGGGTGTTAATAATTAGCTAACTTGATTCTGAAAGCCATTCCAAACCTAGAGCTTACAAAGGTGATGAAGATAATACTTGATTGTCCACCCTGAACCTTGCTTTTCTTAAAACCTATCTCATGAGGGCGCTTCCAGCGGTAAAAATCTCATAATTCTCAATTGGATGTCCGAATTCTATGGTTCGCCTTAGTTGAAAGTCATGTGGTATGCTTTTTAAAAATAGAAAATGGATGAAAGGCCCAAGGAAAATGCTGTCGTAAAGCATGGTTTTTGCCCCAAACTTTATACTACAAAGCATCTGTTGTCGTGATTTTCTTGAATAACTGTTTGTGAAGTTAGGGAGCACAGCATATAAATAACAGCTGTTCAGTAACACATCCTCCAAGGTTTTCATTCCAACTCCTCATTGATTCTTTTAAAAAAAAAGTTTCATTCAAATAACAAAACACAAGCGAATGTTTTTCTAAAACCTGAACACATTCCAAGATTACAGATGGCTCAGCCCAGGGTCCAAGTGTCCTTTTCTGGGCTGTGTTTGGACGTTTAAAATAAAGATAAAAATCCAGGTCCTTGGAAAGTCTTTTTCTCTAAAGCTGATTCTACCTCAGTCCCTGTTCCTGCTTTGTGACCTGTCTGTTATTATTCCTGACGAGCCAGGAATATTTCCTAACACCATACTCAGCTACCTCATGGGGTTAAATGAGGTATGTTCTTATCAAAGACAAGATGGCAAGCCTTTAAGCTTGGAGCCGGGCTTACCCTGACATTCGTGTGTATCTTTTTATCACGTGGCTCCTAAGTGCAGCAGGAAAGGACAACATGAAGCTCTGAGGTGTCTGATAGAAGTGCTTCCAAAAGACACAGCCCTCCCAGATGATCCCGACATCTGGGCTGGGCTTGACTGACCACACATTATACCCAAGCAGAGGCTTCATACATAAGCAGGTGCTTTCCGGCCTCAGTTAATATAAAGGGACTGCTTCCCATCTCAGTGTGATTTCTGAAATGGGGAGAGAGCTCCTGTCAGTTCCCTGAAACCTGTTCCACTGCATTAATGAGCAGAAGTCTTCTCTCTCTGGCTCCCTGGATAATGAGCAAGATGCTGCCTCTCTTGAGAGCTTCTCCTCTGTATGCCAAACCAAACTTCAGGGTGATGGGTAAAAAAACACACACACCGCTAGCTGCCGGGGGCCCGGTCCAAAAGTAACAAAGTCCCCGAGTACTACCTAATAACAGAATGGTGGTGAGCATCTCTAAGGCAGCTTTAATGTTCCCAGCTCAGCAATGACTGGGACACATGAGGTGGGGGTGAGACAAGGGGGGTCGTTTTCTGGCTCCATCCTCATCTTCAGCAATCATTTATCAGGTAGCTACTGGCCTACCTGTGGGAGAGAGGGAGAGGTTTGAAGCATAGACCCTACCCCCAGCAGGTTTGAACATTTTGGGAAAGGTAATGGAACCTCAGAGTAGCTTGTGATTTCCCCTAATTTGGTGGGAATGTGGATTTAGAAGTGAAGAGGCTATAGCTAGCCACATCAGAAGGAGAAGGCTGGCCCATCTGTGCCTTGTTTTGCCAGAGTGTGCTATTAAAGACCGGCTGTCCCTGATGTAAAAATTAGTCTTGTAAGGCTCCCTGAGGTTGCTAAGCCTCTCAGCTATCTCTAGCTGCATCAGTTAAAGCTCCTCAGAGCTAGTTTTCTTGTGTACTTTTGACCTCTGCAAGAATGTACTCCTTCCTGCAGTCAGGAGGCGGGGGGGGGGGGGACGGGACTCGTCTCCAGCTCCTCCAGAATAGCATTGCTGGCCTTCCCTGGCCAGAGTCCAGCGGACCTACCATGCCCTGGTAGATTCATTGCTCTCTTGTGGTCTACATGCTGACTTGTTCCCGTGGGACTCAAGACCCTCCACTTTAATTGCAGCAAAGCAAAAATCATCTGAGAGGCTTACCCTGAGCCACAGAAGGAAGGTCTCAGAGGTACAGGACCCCAAGCTCCAGGCTGGGAACTAGAAGAGCTTCATATTAGTAGGTTCCAGTAGATGGCAACCCTGCTGCTCTCTTGGTCCAGCGACGCTGACGGGGGTGGTTTCAGAAGAAAATATGCAAAATATTAGAGCATTGCGTTCTGGAGCTCCTGATTTGGGTTCATCCCACGGTGGAAGTGTTTGAATAGATACTGCAAGAGCGCTTTGGGATGGCCCTGAGCGAAGAATCCAGAAGGAAGCCGTCTGTGGATGCCCACTGCACAGCAAACAGCTTGCCTTAAAGCCTTATTAAAGCCCCTATTTTCTATAACATGATCCAGTTATACCCTTTCCTTTAAAGCATGTGTGTGTAGAGGGTAGAGTTTGGCTGAGACCTGAGATTTCATTAGTGAATTCTCAAAGTAGAAATTCCCTCCACTGAGGTAGATTAGTATCTCATCTGCTGTGCGGGGCGCTGAAATAGAGAGGAAGGAAGGAAGAAAGGAAGCATTTCTTAAGCATTTGCTATGTACCAGGCACCACAACGTGCTTTACGGTTTTTCACCCACAACAACCCTGAGGGGTAGGTGCTGTTATTACCCCCATCTTACTGAGGCAGCCAGAGGCTAAGTGACTTGCTAGTGAGTGTGTGAAGTTGAATTGGAGCTCGAGTCTTCCTGATTTTATCCACTGGTCCATTTAGCTGCCAAGCCTAGCTCAAGGTACTTGCCCAGCTAGCACGTGAACTAGGGGGCACTTGAACCCAAGTCTGCCTGACACTAAAATTAGTCCTTGATTATAACATGCTACCTCTCTACTGCTGTAAAGATGTGGATACATATGAGACCTTTCTCTTTGTGATTGAGTTCCTTGAAGTGTATGTCTAATAGTGGTATTACTGGGTCAGAGAGGTAAATAGTTCAGTCGCTTTTCCCATGTAGTTCCAAATTGTTTTCCAAAGCATTTGGATCCATTCACAGGCCCACCAATAGTGTGTTAGCATACCTGCCTTACCACAGCCCCTCCAGCATTGACTTTACATGTTATCATCTTTGCCAGTTTTCTGGGTATGAGGTGAGAAGTCAGCTTTAGAACAGGCTGTGTAGGAGAGAGTGAACTCTCAGGGATTCAGGTAGAGCCTGGTGATTGTCTGTCACCATAGTAGCTGAGAAAGAGTGAACTAGATAATGTCTGAAGAGTGTATGTTACTCTAATCTTTACCATCCCATTACTTGGAGTTTAAGTCTGACAGAAAGGGACCCACAATCAACATTATCATCACCCCCATCATGAAGATAGACAGACATATAGACTGACACATACATAGATAGGTAGATACACACAGAGAGACATACATAGAAAGACACAGATAGACAGATATAAATAGACACATACATAGATAGGTAGAGACAGAGATAGACATACATAGACAGATACATAGACAAGTAGATAGACAGACAGACATAGACAGACTGATAGATATTAGCAATTTTTTAGTAAGAGGAAGAGTGGCATGGTGAACAAAGGGCCAGTCATGCAGTCAAGACCTACAGTCCAGTCCTGCTCTGAAACATGTCAGCTTTGTGATCCTGGGTAAATCAGTCAACTTCTCTGTGCCCTACAGTGATCAATCAATAAATATTTGTTAAGTGCCTCCTATGCCATACCCCTGTGAAATGTGTCTGTGCATCAGTGGAGGGAGTTTCCATAGCAGGAGTTCTTTGTACAGAGGAAATCACACACAGGCCCAGACCAAAATGATGATAATAATAACTTGATTTGTTACATTCAATAAATGTTGTTGATACGATGACTCAGAGCTGAGTGGCCATGATGAAAGTGACTTTCAAAGACCATTTTATCTCTTCCCCCAGTCTCCAGGGAGAACGGCACCAAAAAGACGTTAGACATGTCTCCATTCTGTCATTAAATAGCCCAAATCTTGTAAAGAACGTAATTGGTTGCATGGTCTGGTGCCATCCTGACAGATAAGAAAGCAGAAAGTAATCTTGTGTTTACTCCCAGGCCTCCATCATCTAAGCTAACGGGGTCTGGGAATAGGAGGAGGACAGTCGGGAACAAGGAACTCTACAGTCTTGCTTGGAGCCTCGGGTATGATAATTGCCTGTCCATGACTCACTGCTTCTGTGGCCATGCCTCATAGACACAAACAACATCCTAGAATTGCTGCTTAGAAAAAAAAATAATATACCAAGCAGCATTCATTATTTTTACCATCCATCTTTTAACCCTTCACTCACTTAGGAGTTTGTGCACTAAAGCTGTGTCTGCCTCAGAGGCTCCTGTTCTCAGCTTCTCTTACTCCCTTACAGTAAGAAGGAAGGTGGAAGGTCTGTCTCCAGCCTCTGGGTTACAGGAGACTCAGTCTGTGTTGATGGAAGATCAGGTCACTCATTGAATGCACTGATTTTTCAAAACTGCTGCTTTGTGTTGGCTTGTTAAATTTCAGCTGCCTGTCTCCTGTCTTTACAGAGAAGAAGGAGATGATCCCAGGAAACACGCTTTCTTCAAAACAATCAACTTTTTCCGACTGGAGGCTGGCCTCATCGAACCCCCCTTTGTGCCAGACCCAAATGTGGTGTATGCCAAAGACATCGCTGATATTGAAGATTTCTCTGAGGTCAAGGGCATCGAATTTGATGAAAAAGATAGAAAGTTCTTTAAAAAATTTGCAACAGGTGCCGTTCCTATAGCCTGGCAAGAAGAAATTATAGAAACAGGACTCTTTGAGGAACTCAATGACCCCAACAGATTGTCAGACTGTGTAAACGGCAGCACAGCCAAGTCTGGGGTGTGTATGTTACTGTAAGCCTTGACCTGATTGTGGAACACTTCAAACACTTGGAAAATCTCTTGGATAGGGTTTGATCAATCAGAAGCATTTCACAGACTGTGAAACTGGACTAACAGTAAGGTTCCATTTATAAATGCAAAATGCTTCCTAGCAGCCCTGCAAGGTGGGTAGAGCAGCTACAGTAGTCATATTTTACAAATATCTGAGAGCTTAGCAGTTTGTCCATAGTGATGTAGCCAATAGTGTCTGAGGCACAATTCGAACCCAGGTCTTCCAAATCAAAGTCTGGCACTCATACCCTTCATTTTACAAATGAGGAAAGGAGGCTGAGGCCAAGTTATAAGTGCTTATAAGGCACAGTGCCTGGCACACAGGAGGCACTACATAAATGCTTTTTCCCTTCCTCCACTAAAGAGATTACTTTTTTTTTTTATTTTGGGTTGACAAAGTCAGATGATGTGTCAATTTTTAGTGAAGACTAGGAAAAGGAACACTTGGGTTTATTTTGATAAACTGAAAGTATGAGCACTTCACCGTCATGTCCCTATGAATTACGCAAAGTCCCTGAGACAGAGAATGGAACTCTGTGGTGTGTTCTGAAAATGACCATTTGCAATTCTTGGTAAACAGTCATTTTTATTTTGTTTCCCCTCTTCATCTTTCACTTTTTCTTATTCTGAGTAGTTTAAATAAAAGACTTTAAGGGAGGAAAAATTGTTGACTTTGCCTTTTAAAAAGAGAAATTATGACTTTTTGATAATATTACAGATTATAGAATACTTTTCAATTGCATTGACGGATCTCTTTATAATCCTTTAAATAATTAACTATTTTAACTTAAAATTCTCTTAAAGGCAAAAATGTTTTCATGCAGTAGGTCTATGGCTTGAGCAAATACTAAGAGATTAAATTTTTCCCACAAAAGCAAATTCAGATCCTGTATCATGTAATGATACTAAAAATAGCAGCTAATATTTACCTAGCGCCTACTGTGTGCCCAAGCACTGCGCTAGGAACGTTACAAATGTTATCTCGTTTGGCCCTCGCAGCGACCCTCGCAGGTGAGGCGTGTGATCCGTTGTTTTGGCTACTTAATTAAATCTCCAGTCCAGAATTTAGACCATGAATTCTGAATTTCTAAAAGAATTTTGTTTTAAAAAATTATAGGCCAAGTGAAAATGAACATAATTGATATGTAGCTAGTACAGTCTCTTTCCCTTGAATATTTTCCCAGTGTAGTGACCTCTGTGATTTCGAGGGAGTAAAAAAAAAGTGGAGGAGCTTGGAATCTGACAACACAGGATCAAGAATCAGATGGTAAATGACAGTTCTCTGTACATTATACGCACCCTCATAGCATTGTATGGCGGTCTCCAGACTCCACGCTTTAAATTAAATGTTTTTGGACTCACATCAGGATCTGGGGAGATACAGAAAATGTGTCCACACATACCAACATACACCCACACACAGATTTTTCTAGAAATGCCCGAATTATGAGAATAGATCAAAGAAACTTTTTAAAGCTTGACCCTGTTTAAGACTTTCAAAAAATACAGCCTTAGAATCTTGATTAACTTAAATCCAACTAACCAGAACCTTAATACTGTACTTTTTTCACACTTGATCTTTATGGAAAAGAAGCAAATGACAAGGAAATGCCAACCCTTATCGGGTACGTAATAAAAAAAAAAAACCAGAACAGGTTTCAGGGCATATCCTGGGAGTCAATACACATTCGGCGCAGTTTCTTCCATTATCTAAATTGGCAGACCTGTGGCAGAGTGATAACTTGGATGTTCTGTAAGAGCCTAGATCACCAAAGGATGATTACTGTGTTGTTCCGTGTTGGTCAAGAAGACCTGAATTTTTAATTCAGCCTCTTTACTAGCTGTGTGATCCTGGAAAAATCATTTAATCTGTGTCAGCCTCAGTTTCCTCACTTATAAAATGGAGATTATAATAGCACCTGTCTCATAGGATTGTTGTGAGGATCAAGGTACATAAAGAGCTTTGCAAACCATGAAGTGTAAGCAGTTATCATTAGGAAAGTGGACATGTACATTTTTAGGAAGATTTCCACCTAAAGAATTGGGGGGATGAGAGTGTTTTCTGCTTAGAACTTGATTAAATTTAGCCAGAATATCCCATTAATAGAGGGTTCCAGGTTTAGCTTTATGCAAATATAAAAAAAATCATCAATATATGTCAATTAGACCCTTCATGTATGCTTTTATTGGTTTTGTAAAGTTCATGTGTAAGTCTGTGCGCAGTGTCCTAGAATTTCTGTTTCATGAGCAGCGGAATTAAATAAACGGAATCAACCCATTAAAAATTCATTTTATTAAATCCGCTTTGTATTCTAAGCTGTACCTAGGTGCTCTGTGAAGCCAAATACCTCAGAAATACCTATTTCATCCACAGTTACCCCTCCATTCAGACAGCCACCATCATACTGTCAGTGAGTATTCATTAAGCACCTACTGTGTACCAGACAGTGTGCTAAGGGATGGGAATGCGAAGAAAGGCAAAAAACAGACTCTGCTCCCCGGGAACTCGTAGTCTAATGAGGAAGATCACATGAATGTGGTAAACTGGGTGTAATCTCAGAGGGAAGGCACAGAGGTTCAGCAGGACTGAGAAAGGCTTCCTGTAGGAGGTGGGAGTTGAATTGAGATTTGAAGGAAGGCAGGGAAGCCTGGAGGTAGAGATGGGGAGGAAGAGAATTCCAGGCATAGGGAACCGCCGGTGGAAATGCCCAGAGCTGAGAGATGGAGTGTTTTGATTGAGGTTCAGTAAAAGAGGCTAGTGTCATTGAATCTCAGAGCACTTGGCAAGAGGGTAGGTAGGAGAAGAGTAAGGTATAAGAAGACTGGAAAGGTGGGAGGGGGCCAGGTTGATAAGGGCTTCGAATGCCAAGCAGAAGATTTATTATTGATCTCGGAGGTGACAGGGAGCCACCTCCCATTAGCCAACTGTCGGGATGAGCGTCTCCAAACTTGACTAGATTGGTCTTGGCATAACCAACATGCATTTCATCACCAGGCCCATGCTCTTAGTTTTGCCAACTTGGTAGGGCTTTGTCAGAGCTTGCCCTTCAATGGCATAACCTCAAAAAACTCAAGGTCACCTCAGGTCACAATAAAGTATCAGAGTAGGATTTTGGCAGATGACACAGATGCAATATGAAACATAATACCAGTTCTTGGGAACTAACATTTTACCTGGGGAAACAAACCAGTCCTGCCCCTCGTGTTTTTGTTGACCTGGCCACGTATCATTACTTTGTTTCTTGCTAGGATCTTCACAGCCTGGTCTGGGAAAGACCTTCGCTTTTAAAAAGGCCAAGGTCTTCCACTGCATCTGGGGCCATCACCGGTCCTCCTGACCTGTGTCTTGTCACTGGACTCCTATAACTCCGGAGGACAGACTGAGGCTGATGACTTCGCACAGCCCTGCCTCACTTAAATCCAACTGAGTCGCAAGTCAAGACATTATTCTCCTGATGTCATTGGGCCCCTTCTGAGAACAAAGGATGAACAGCAACAAATAACCTCATATTATTGGAAATAACTTCACACCTGCGTGCAAAGCTTTATATGCAAAGAGTGGGCTGCCCACTTTTCAGAGAAAAACTAATCTTTAATCAGGGATGGCCAACCTATTAACACACACACAGAAAGCCAGCCAACAAGCATTTATTAAGAAAGATGCCTCCTTAATCTAGTGCTCTGATTTATTGTTATCCTCTTTCTCCAAGACTCATTATTCTGGCTGGGACTCAGTAATAAAGGGATGAGTTATTATGTCCTATGTTCTAAGTAGCAGGAAAGCATCAAAATGTCAGGCAATAATTATGATACTACCAAAGAGGCTAAGACTTCAGGCTGCTACCAAAGGAGCTAAAAGTAAGTACCCTATCCTTATCACAATTTGTGGACTCAGAGACCATATTACAAAAGAATTAGGCAGAGAAGTATGCCTAGCATAAGACTTCTTAATGTTTTTGTGCATCAAAGACATTGCCCCTTGGCAGTTTATAGAAGCCTAAAGATTCCTCCAAACCATATTTTTAAATTGCACAAGATAAAATACATAATTACATTGAAAAATAGTACTAAAATATTTTTAAAGGCTACAGCCCCAAGGTGAGTTACAGGCCCTAAAAACCAAACTGGGGTAGGAAGCATCAGGGAACAAGGACGTTGGGAGGATACAATTGGCAACCTTAGGTACGACGGTCATTACCATGGCAGGAGAAAGAAGGGTGCCTTAGGATTTGGGCACCATCCTTTTTCTAACCCCTTCCATTTGGTGCTCAGGATGCCTGGGTTACAATCACCTTCACACCAGGGCAGCTCACCAAGGCAACGGAAGGTCAAGGGTTTTGTAGGGAAGGGACAGTTCCCAATCAGATGTGTATGATTGGTTTCCCTATCTCTGATCTCAGAGGTATTGAAGGCCCCAACAGAATCAACTTGGGAATACAAGCACGGTGTTTGGAAGTTTCCAAAAAGATCAGGAAAACGGCATGTGCCCAGGGTCTAAAGTATAGAAGCAGCCTGCCACAAATGAGCCTTACGGATCTCAAGAGCTCCATCATTTCCTGTTTTATGGGCTATCAGAGTAAGGTTTTATGGGCATGGCTGTTTGTAGTATATGCCTAATAATAATAGCTCCTACATAGAGAACATTTGAAGGTTTACGAAGGACTTTCCTCCTAAAAACCTGTGAGGTGGGTAACACAAAGATTATTACAACCATTTTGTAGATGGGCGACTGAAACTTATTCTAATCTAGAGGCAAGGTTTTATTGTAAGTCACACAGCTAAATCTAAGGCAAGATTTGAAGCCATGTCTTCTGAATCTAAGTTTCCAGTTGCCTTTCCCCCTTTGTCATAGTATCTCACTACAAAAACATTTCAAAGCCAAATAGAAGTATTTTTGGCGTGATACACTATTTTTAAGTCCCAGAATGGTAGATCTGGAAAGGACCTTGTTTATTTGTTTTTTGCAAGAATTTATTATTTCTCCCTCTCCTGGTCCCTGCCAATTGAATAATAAAAAAAATTAAAATCCTTTGTAACAAAAGTACATAATCCAGCAAAATAAGTTCCCTCATTAGCCGTATCCAAAAAATGTGTGCCTCAGTCTATATTTTGAGTTCATTGTCTTCCTGGGGTGATCTATCAAGTCCTTTGGACTTGTGATTAATAATTGCATTGATGAGAGTTCTAAAAGATCTTTCAAAAGTATTTTTTTCCATAATGTTGTCATTGTATAAATTTCCTGTTTCTGTTTATTTCACTCTGCATCAGTTCATGGAATTCTTCTCAGTTTCCTCTCAAATGGTCCATTTCATCAATTCTTAGTTCAGTTGTTTTTCAGTCATGTACAACTCCTCATGACCCCATTTGGGGATCTCTTGGCAGAGATAGTGGAACAGGTTGCCCTTCCCTTCTTCAGCTCATTTGGCAAACAGGGTTAAGTGACTTGCCCAGGATCACACAGCTAGGAAATGTCTGAGACCAGATTCACCAGTTCTTATGACACAATAATATACCATTATATTCATATACCACAACATGGTCATTCCCCAATAGATGGGCCTCTCCTTAGTTCCCCAGTTTTTAACTACTAGGAAAAGACCGCCTGTCAATATTTTTGTACGTACGCATCAGTCCTTTCCCTCTTCCCTTGATCTCTTTGGGGCATAGGCCTAGTAGTGGTATCATTAGGTTAATGGACATGCCCAGTTTAGTGACTTTTGGGGCATCATCTAAATTGTTTTTCAGAGTGACTAGACCAATGTCTACTCCATCAACAGTGGGCCTGTTTTCCTGCAGCCCGGAAGAGACTTTTAATGTCCCCTAATCCAGTCTCCTCGATTTACAAATCAGGAAAATGGGACCCACAGAGGTAAAGACCTGGGTCTAGAACTGTCCTTACTTCTAGCTCCAGGTTCTTTCTACTTCCACATGCCTTTTTTTTTTTGGTTTGTTTTGTGTACCTGTCTTGTATTTATTTGTGCTGTCTTCCTGCTGGGGGGCAGAGAGAGGGAAGTGTTGGCAGATACACTCCCATCGGCTTCCCAGGGCCCGGAACTTGGTCTGCCACGCTCTTCCTATCTCCCCATGGCATCTGATCTGAATCAGTGCTCTGCCTAGGGAGGAGTGAAAGCCCAGAGGAAGAACAACAAGAGGGCAGAAAATAGAGGAAGAGGAGAAGAAAGGGGAGGGAGGGAAGGAGGAGGGGAATTTCTTTAATAGTTAGGAGCCAGCACAATGGGCCAAGCCCCCTGGAGGGAGGTGGATGGGGAGGAGAGTTGTTTGTAAAACCACAGTTCCTTGATGCCTGGCCCTTTGTTATCATCTGCACAGTGAAAGTTCCCTCCTCTTGCCCCCTGCTCCCACAGGACAAGGAAATCCAAATCAGGGGTATCTGAATCTTTTCTCTGCCTGCGTTTCACTGTTCCCTTTGAGTAACTGTCACAAATGCCCTGGGCCATTGTAAATGCCTTAGGAATCAAAGTCATGCATTCTTTCCGTCTCTGAAAGTATCTCCCGGCCTTATGTTGTTTTTCACCAAGCTGAAAAAGTGGGGGCTTTAAAATTCCTTAATTACATTTGCCCGCCAGTGGAAAGTTACCGCAGTACCGAATTATGTGTTCCAGACTGGCTCTTGGTGAATGTTATTACAGCAAATACCAACAGAGTGAAGGAGGAGGGAATATTGATTTTTCACTTGTCATAACCTGTAAGCCAGTGAACAATGGTGAAGCAACAGTCTAACAAAACAGGCATTAGGAAGCAGTTGTCCTACTGCATTTTTTGTGGGACCATAGCCCGTTCATCAGCCTTCACCCAACC